GTGTAGTGTGCCAGACAAGTGCTCTAATACAGAGATATACCCATTAGAAGCACTTATTTCTATTAATGACTACAATTGACCATTGGTAAGTGTAAAGTACACTTACTAGAGCAAATGATAAAGGTCAAGTGTGAAGAATACTTTGTATATGACTCAGTTCTTACATTTTGGGTTATGGGTAAAAATAAAAATCAGCATTTGGGCATAAACCAATATGTATTCAAAGTTGAAGATATATAGATCAAGCTAGTATAATAACATTTCTTATATACTATATTGATCTGCTTGGTATGAACTTCATGCCCTTTTTTTGCACACATACAAAGTCATGTGTAACAGTATTTAAGAGTAAGCCGTATAACAGTTTAGCACAGTATAAATAATGACTTTCTCAAAGAATGTTAATGCAGGAAGAAGAAATAAATTTAAAGAGGCACACGTTGCCTTAGTTTTGAAGAGCAAGTCTAAAACCAAAGCAAATAAAACATCTTAAGAATTAATATTAGGAAAATTCCTTTAAAAGCTTCTGATGCTATTTCTGTAAAGACACACATAGACAAATATACATATATGTATAAAAACTGTAAATCTGTGTAGATTATTGTTTATATTCAGAAATCTACCCCCACTGGGCAAAGTACCACTGCTTCCTCATCAGACTAGACACCTCAATCACTGGGGGTCTAGGCATGTGACCCCAATAACAACTAAGTTTATTTGGGTGACTTTTCATTCTTCTCTCCTACTATTTAAAAGCAACAGACTCCTTCCTTGAATCATAATTATGGATACTTCTCTGTTGCAAATTAAGGATAATAAAGAATAGTAACTTCTAAGGAAAACTCATCTACAAAGCCTTGCCATGTATATGCTAGAGTATTTAGAAAATGAAAGTGCCAGTTTATGGTGACTGGTGTGAAATAATCATTATTTCTAATTAAAGGACTAAATTGTTCCAGAATCCCAGCCACCTTTTGATTATTAACTGCTAAACATTTAATGGATAATTTACTTTTTAGAAAATCCTTAGCCACTATTTCTTTCATTAGATTAAGCACAAAACATGTTGGCTGGATGGGAAAAAAAAAACTGTCTTAACACAACACTTTCCCCATATGCTTCAACATACCATAAGGTTTTTATGCAGAACTATGAAATAGGTTCACCAGATAGTGCCTATTTAAGATTAAGTGGTTCAAGAGTAAACAATCTCCAACTTCCCCTCCAGCTATAAAAATTCATCCAAATTCTTGTTCCTTTTTGAATGACCTTGAGCAATAATGAATAACTAAGAATTCAGAGTATATTGGGGTCAACTTCTCCCACTGTAAGGGAATTTTTAACTCAGACTACCTGAGAGCCTTCTGAACTAATTTGTCATCTTCCACCCATGACCTTCCCATTGTGCCTTATCTCCTGAAATTGGACCAACACACTATAAAGTCAGTTTTCACCTTCTCCACATACCTACACACAGAGCATCAAATTATCTAATTTCCAGAAATTGAGTGCAGGTTTTATGACCTTACTAGATATTCAACCAACAAGTATTTTTTTGAATGTCAGCCATGTGTCAGAGATTGTGTGGAGGCTTGAAATTAAAAAGGAAAATAAGAAATTATTCTTCCCTTGAATGGTTTAGAAAATGGCCTCAGATTTCTTCACTGTTGTCACAAAGCAACAAGTTTAACTGTGAGCAGAGGGAGCTGGGATTTGGGAAGGCCACACACCTTCTCAGTCATTTCTTTGTTTTGGGGAAACACAAGACTGACTCTTCATTACCTTCCATCCATATTATCTATATTTTTTAAAGTTATTCTGCTTCTACTAAGAACCCCTTTTTAATCTCCTTTTCATTTCTCAAGTCCCTGATCAAATATTATCACTTATGTAGTTTTGAGACATCTTTAGTTTATAATGTCCCCTTGTTCTATACACCTGTTATAGCTCTTAGCATATTGCATTGTAGTTACACTAGCTAATATGTGGAAAGCACTTTCAAATTTCCTAATTTATAATAAAATGTTCAATATATATTAGGAAGGAAAAAGGAAATTTTCTATATTGCTTTGCCTAAACTGAGTTCCTGGAGGAAATGGCAAGTTTTTAAAAATTCGTATCACCATTCTATCCTATTGTATAGCAGAGTGTAACTATTTGTTGAATTGATTTGTTGAAAATTAAAATAAAAAATACATCTTGATTCATGTATTACCTTTAATACACTTGTTATCCACTACCATCTTGTTGATAAGACAAAAATATACTATACTTTTTAGTTGTAATTCCTCAAGAATATTCAGATGGAGAGATTTTAAAATATGTTATCCCCAAATGACTCCTTCCTTGAATCATAAATATGGATACTTCTCTGTTGCAAATTAAGGATAATAAAGAATAGTAACCTCTAAGGAAAACTTTCATCTACAAAGCCTTGCAATGTGTATGCTACAGTATTTTGAAAATGAGCTCTGCCTATGGTGAGAGGAATGGTGATCTCTGCATTTAAGTATGCCATTATTTAGCAGGTAGGAAAAATTGTCACTGATAGTGATTACTAGTAAATAAGACTTTACTAGCTCATTTAAAAAGATGGTTTCCAAATGCAAATAATGCACAGTACTTGTACATGGAAATAACAGTAAGATTGAAAAAGCAATGAAATATTTAAGATGTTGATTGTTTTGTAAAAAATATGAATTAATATTTAAAGAATTGTATATCATATGCCAACTTCAGCATTTGGGATGTCCTCTTACCCTAATCTTTGTGAACATAGTCATTATTTCATGATAATATTTCATAAATATTTATACTTTTTCAAGGAGTTTTTTTTTTACCTCATTCTTCAAATAAAACACTGAGAGCTTAAAAAAAGAAAAAGTAGATTATGACAAATGAGGAAAATTACAAATCCTTGTTATGGAGATACTCTGTGAAGTGACTCAGATATACTGATTTTTACTTCTGTTAAACACAGCACCACTACTAAGGTCATCACTGCTAATGACTACCACTGTCAGCAATAATTAGAAGAATAACTCCTTATATTTATATAGATTTTTACACCTTACAGACTTTTCACTTATTTTTTATTCTCACAACAATAATGCCAATGATAGAATATTTTCTAAGGAAAAAAATCCAGTGGTAGCAAAGAATATGTACATAGATGTTCATCCCCATGTTAAATATAATGATGCAAAGTTGAAATATAAATGCCAAGCTTTATCAGAATGTCTTAATAAATATAGTCAGTTCATTTACTACACAGTGAACAGTATAATTACAAAATTAATACATCAAAAAGTAGAAAAATTGTGTTATTCTAGAGGGTAAAAAAATGAAGAATATAAAATTATATGGATACTAATATTACAACTAAGGAAACACTTCTGTGTATTTGGATCTGGCTTCGATGGTAATATGGTCAAATATAAAAGTAAAATGTTCCAGTTATTTTAGTTTTTCAGTGACACTGGTATTGTTCATTATACCATATACGTGTTTATTACTGTAAAATAAAATTAAAAGCATATGCTTATAATAACAAAATATTTGTTAAACATATGATTACAGTTAATAATGCATCTTTTTAGGGGAGACTTTTTACCAAAAAATGATTGTAGGTTCCTTTTCAGTAGAATGTGGGCTTTTCTTTCCCAACTCCACCAACCCTTGAGCATTTGATCACTTGGGGTGATTTCAAAGAACACTGGTGCCTGGCTGTATCCTAAGAGATGAATTTTTCAGTGGATTTGGGTTTAAGCACAGGTATTGGATTGTTTAGGTGTGTTGTTTTTTTTTAATTCTCTGTCTATAATTCTATTGTAGCTTGGGTTGAAAATCACTAATACAATCTTAAGAAATTGTCTGAATTTTCATCTTTAGAATAAGACTTTCAAGAACAAGAATGCTATTTGGATGCTAATTAGACTGATCTAATTTAAGGAATTTTAAAAACAAAGTATCTTTATACTATCAGAATGGCAAGATCAGTAATCATCTTATTCATTGTTAAAAATAATATAAAATAGAATATTGGTGAGAGATGAGCACTATCCTACACTGTTTGTAGAAATGTAAACTGAGTGTATTGATCAATTTCACTGAAGGGCTTAACAATATGTCTTCAAAGCTTTTAAAATATGGAAATCTTTCTGTCCTTGCTATTCCACATTTAAGAATCTATCATTAGAAAATAATAGGACAAAATGGCAAAGATATATTAATAAAAATGTTTATCATAATTTTGCCTATAATAGTAAAAAAATGGAAGCAATCAAAACATTCATGAGTGGGTTGATTAAATTGTGTATAGATCAATAAATGGCACTAGTAAAATGATTCTGTAGCTCTATGTGAGTTAACATGGGAAGATGGTCACAGTATGTGGATAAATGAAAAAGTTATAGCATTATAGCATGATACTAATTTATTTAAATATATATATATACACACACATGCACACACGCGCACGCGCACACACACACACACACACACACAGAGGCAGGGAAAATCCTGAAAGCTATATAACTAAAATATCAATAGTCATTGTTTCCATAAGTGTTTTTATATTCTGCTTTATACTTTTTCATACATTCTAGGTTTGTGGAGGGTTTGGGGTTTTTTCATTAAAACTAAGTACTAGTTTTACAAATAAAAATGGAAATTTTAAAAAATGAAAAATATATATCTTCAAAAGTGAAGCTTTGCACTTTTATTTCCCCAGTTGAATAAACTACAAAAGACTCTCCCATCTTCACCCTAATTGTGAAAAACAAGCTATTTGATATTCAACAAGTTATTTTTTAAAATGCCACACTTTTTTAACATGTTTATTTTTCCAAGTAGATTAAGTCCCAGTAAGAGATATAAAATCATCTCTGATACAGTTAATCTAGTTACAATCAATGAAGATGCCATGTAACAAATAAATTGAAATGTATCTTAATATCCAAAATTACTAACAGGGTTTCTTTCTTTCTTTTGCATTTTAGGCAGTTCAGGCCCATCATCCTCCATAGCCATAGCTGGCACCAATCACCCCGCCATCACAAAGACAACGTCTGTTCTTCAAGATGGCGTCATCGTCACCACCGCAGCTGGAAACCCACTGCAGAGTCAGCTGCCCATTGGGAGTGATTTTCCTTTTGTTGGCCAGGAGCACGCACTTCATTTTCCACCCAACAGCACTTCAAACAACCATCTTCCACACCCCTTGAACCCCAGCCTCCTCAGTTCTCTACCTATCTCTTTGCCAGTGAATCAACAGCATCTCCTAAACCAGAATCTATTAAATATCCTCCAGCCTTCAGCAGGAGAAGGCAAGTCTGAGATCAACCTCCACCCTTTAGGTTTTCTCAACCCGAATGTAAACGCTGCTTTAGCTTTTCTCTCCGGTGACATGGATGGGCAGGTATTACAGCCTGTTCACTTTCAGCTCTTAGCTGCTCTGCTTCAGAACCAAGCCCAAGCAGCTGCCATGCTTCCCCTGCCATCTCTCAATCTGACCATCTCAGATCTTTTGCAACAGCAAAATACCCCTTTACCCTCATTAACACAGATGACAGCCCCACCAGACCATTTGCCAAGCAATCAGTCAGACAACAGCCGAGCTGAGACCCTTTTAACCAGCCCCCTGGGGAACCCTTTACCAAGCTTTGCAGGCAGTGACACTACTTTTAACCCCCTGTTCCTCCCAGCTGTCACTGGGGCCTCAGGATTAATGGCCTTGAATCCCCAGCTGTTGGGAGGTGTTCTGAACTCGGCATCGGCCAACACCGCTAATCATCCAGAGGTTTCCATAGCAACCTCCTCCCAGGCAACCACTACCACAACCACTACATCATCAGCAGTGGCAGCACTGACTGTCTCAACACTTGGTGGGACAGCAGTGGTGTCAATGGCCGAAACATTGCTGAATATATCTAATAATGCTGGGAATACACCTGGTCCAGCTAAACTCAACAGTAACTCTGTGGTGCCACAGCTACTTAACCCTCTACTGGGGACAGGTCTGCTTGGTAAGTTAAATTTTTTCACAAATTTTTTAAAAAGAAACGTTTTTCTAATTCTATTTTCTCCTTTTTAAAAACTCCATTTTGTCACACTATTTTTTAAAATGTTTTTGTTATGTCACAGCTTAAGGAACTAAATATAACAACACCCCACATGACCATAGTTATACAAACATGAGAATGACTTTTTCCTTTTCCCTTGTTCTAGCAATACTAAATATTATTTTAGTCTGCTTTCTCTTCTAATTCTGATGCCACCTAAACCTAACCTACCCATCATTCTCTTAAGCCAAGTAGCATCTTATTTTTCAAATAATAAAGCACAGGTACATCTTAAAAATAATTTTTATTTCAATTTTAGTTGGTGTGGCATCACAGGGTTAGTATGAGCAGCTGCACAGTGGCTGGAAACAGCTTGAGGAAGTGTTTTCCAGGTGAACCCTAAATAAACAAATCTAAACACTTGTCCAGCAAAACATAAACAAGGCATAAAAACACTGAAAGCTAAAGTCTGTCCAAGTTCAAGGAACAATCCCTCTAGCTGTTGCTAGATTTCCTCAGAATTATTCTTTTTAGATGTTTGTGGCTTAAAAACAAAGTCTTTCTTATGCATTGTCCTCTCTCAAAGAGTTAGAAAATGATGTTAAGCGTATTTAACTCTTGAATGCAGGTAACTATAATGTAAAACATAGGGATGGTGTCCATAAAGTCCAGAAGCATATGCAAATACACATGATGTGGTCAAGGCCATGTTCAGTGTGTAAAAAAAAATAAGTTTATGTTTCTAGATATTACGGACATCTTTAATAATAATAATTAGTTTTATCTGGCATAAATCATTGTAATTAAAAAATCTAAGTAGCATCACAAATCTACATATTTCAAGTTATAGGGGAATTTCTATGAAATTGTCCTCAAAATAATTTCAGTACTTTCAAAACAATTTTGAATATAAATTTAGTTATTAAATAATGCTAATTAATTATATGATAGTTATCTTAAAGATTATGATAATGAATTATTTTGTTTTGTTAGTTTTCCTTACAATTTTAATTTTAGGTGACCCACCTTATACTCCAAAACAAAATGCATTTATCTAAACTAAATCTCTAATTTTATTTGGTGGTCTTTATTTACGATTGTGGCTTAATAATGAAAGTTTATAAACAAGGCCTGATCAGACCCACTCATTTAAGTTATCTGATCAAGTATGTATGATTACTAAAATATTTTAGGACTAATTTCTACCTTTAATTGTAGACATTCTCATAAAAAGAGAGCCAAGAAATCACATAACATTGACACTCAATATATAAGGATTAGTTAATGAATAGAGCAACTTCTAAGTAAGTAATCTTTGCATGATATAAAATCCAAAAACTAATTATGCAAGATAAAACTAAATAATAAAGCTACCCTTTCTTTACCACTTAGTAAGACTTTGAGAAGAAAAAAAAAAGAAATGAAATGAATAAATGAATTACCCATTAAGTTCAGCTTCTAGTTTTGTTTTAGGAATTCTCAGGTACAAAGACAGGCATAGGATCTCTGAAGGATCACATTGACTTGTATTTATGTTTTTCAAACTGTAGGTGATATGTCATCAATAAACAATACTTTGAATAACCATCAACTGACTCATCTACAGTCGCTGTTAAACAACAATCAGATGTTTCCTCCAAATCAGCAACAACAGCAACTCCTCCATGGGTACCAGAATCTCCAGGCCTTCCAAGGACAGTCCACTGTTCCTTGCCCGGCTAACAATAACCCCATGGCTTGTCTGTTTCAGAACTTCCAGGTACTCACCTTCCACTTTTGTAGAAACCAATGTCTGGGTTTGTTTAAATATTTACTTTGGGGGAAAGAGTGAAAAAAGTAGATTTTATACCTTTTTATATCTATTTACTGTTATTTCTCAATATTGAGTATTATTCAATAGGCCAGTCCTTTGTACAAAGGTAATTTTGTTTTATGTAGTAGTCTTTTTTGAAACTCCGAATGTCACTCTCTTAAACGCTTTTGTCTTTCTCATTGCACTCTTGATTAGGACCCTCATCCTTTTTAATATACCCACTGACCTCACTTCTCCAGGCTCAGCTTTCAGCCCTGATCCTGGGCTTCTGCCATATAGTCTTTTATTTCTATGAAGTAAATTAATCCCTGATAGATTAAGGGGTCTGATGGAAGAAGTACCACTAAATAAATATAAGAAGAAAATATTTAAGATTTTAAATATATATATATATATATATATATATATATACACACACACACACACACACACACACACACACATACACACATTTGTGTGTGTGTGTGTATGAGAGAGAGAGAGAGAGAAAGAGAAAGAGACAGAGAAGGTTCTGTAAGCAAAACAAAAAACCAAAAAGTCAAAAGAAAAAGAAGTAACAGAGCTGACTATATAAAACTTTTAAATCTCTGTACAATATCAAGGATATTCTGAACAAAATTAGACAACCAACTGGTAGAAAGATATTTATATAATATATACCAAATCATTGACACCTGTAATATAGAAAGAACTCCTATGAATCAAGAACAAAAAAGGATAATTGATTAGAAAAATGAACAATACATATAGATAATTCATAGAAAGTGAAATATAATTTATTAATAAAATACAAAAATAATAATCAAAGTTATACAAATTAAAATGCTGTGTCCATCAAAATGATGTATCTATTTCTGACAAGAGTATGACGGAATTGATTTCTCACTCTTTTGTTAGTCTGTTTGAAAGCAGGAGGGTAATTTGGCAGTATATAAAGTTTTTAAATACACATATCTCTGTGCCCAGAAGTTCAACTTTTATGTTTCCATTTAAGAGAAATCTTCAAATGTGAACAAAATGGTGCATACCAGAATTTTCATTACATGAATTAAGTATCCATCAGCAGGAAAATAGTTAAATGTGTTATAGTATATCCATCTACCTAGTAACTTAAAAGATTAACTAGACTTAAACAATCCAATATGGAAAAAATCTGTAAGACTAAAGACTTCAATACTGCTCTATTGCCAAAACAGTACTACAGTAAAATTACATTCATTTTGAAAAAAAAGGAAGGAAGGAAGGGGGAAAGAAACTAGGTTTCCTTTATAATTCACCTACACAATTTAACATATTAAAAAGTCTGCAAGGGCTGGGGATGTGACTCAGTGATAGAGTACTTGCTTAGCATGCATGAAGTCCTAGGTTCAATTCCCACCCCCCAAAAAATAAATAAAGTGTCTGCAAGGAGTGCTCCAGCACTGGTTACTTCTGAAAAAGGAATGGAATAGGAGTGGAGTAGGTATTTGGGGTGCAGAACAGTGATGTAGAAAGCTTTTATCTCTTTTGACAATAATAAAACATTCACATGTATCTTGTATAATAAAATAATTCAGAAAGGAGGAAGAAGTGTTCAACCATGTCACCAAAAAAAGCAAGCAAAATAAAGCCTGAAGATAATTCACTAGACTTAGCTATTAGTACTTAACCAGTGAGTTGGTAGAATGTAGTTTTGGTAGAGTAATGGGAGCAGGAACCAGATTGCCATAGATGGAATGGTGAATGGAATATTAGGTGTGTATTATGCCAGGCCCAGTGGCTTACACCTGTAATCCCAGGTTCTTGGGCGGCTGAGGCAGGAGGATCACAGGTTCAAAACAAGGGTGAAGTGCTAAGCAAGGGTGAAGTGCTAAGCAATTCAGTGAGACCCTGTTTAAATAAAACACAAAATAGGGTTGGTGATGTTGCTCAGTGGTTGAGTGCCCCTGAGTTCAATCCCTAGTACCAAAAAAAAAAAAAAAAAAGGAGTGTAGATTACATTTTCAAAACCTTAACTATGCAGAACATAAGAGAAATAGGGAATACTCCATGGGGAAACTTCAAATAGAACACAATTTTAAAATATGGAAGCCATGCACATGATTATATGCCAAAGGAGAGAGCCACAAAAGTGAGAGACTGAGCATGAAGAGAAGGAATAACAAATGAGGCAAGATACCTGAGGGAGAGGGCTTAGCATCCAAAGCCTTAATGGAGAGCTTACCCACAGAGCACAGAAGGAGCCCCTCTTATCCTGGGAAGTAGGACAAGACAGAGGACAGGTATAGTTGCTGAGAAATGTGTGCTGTCACAGAGCAGGGAGTATCAGAGGTATAAGAGAATATGAGAACTCTTATCTGGTGGGCTGCATGCTCTAAGTAAGGTCATTCACTAAGAATAATGCAGGAGATGGCATAGCCACCAGCCTGAAGAAGTAGAGGAAAATTTGAATAGTTGTGGAGAGTAAGAATGATATCTAATGAGAAGATCACAGGATTGAAGGGCAGCAATGGCCCATAGTGGAGGTTGAAAGCCATAAATTCCTATCCACAAGGTATCCAGCACCCTCAGTGTAGATATAAGTAAAAGAAGCAGTTGAAATGATCCAAGATTGAGATTTTTATCTGGTAAGTATAGACAAGAGGATAATAGCAAGAGAGTAGTTGATGTGTTGTTGTATCCAAGGTTGTATTTTAGTTAGGAAGGCCATAGAAGCAGAAAGGGAGTGATCATTTCAGGGTAGGGGAGATCCAAAGTATCAAGGGTCTGGAGGAGCAATTTTCAGATAGATGTTAATGAGATTAAAATAACCTTGAGGACTTTGTCAAACTGTACTCGTCCTTCCTGTTCTAAAATTCTAATGTACTCCTCTATAGGCATTCTCTCCCTTCACTCTCCCCAATTCAGAATCATTTCTGCAGTAAGCCATGGTCACATTGACAGCGTGGGGATATCTCTTAGCCAAAAGCTTGATGAGGTTGAGGAGTTAGCATTATTAGCCCATCTGAAATCTTCAAAATATAGTGTCATATCATCAAAATATTTTATCATTAAGGAAGGAGTCTATTCATTTTCTTTATTTTATTATAGATTGCATTTCACTTAGTTAAATAGAATCATCAGTGAGTTAAAAAATCAGTGAGCTAAAATTTTCAAAATCTGGTTCTCTTGGTTTGGTTACCTGTGACTTGTTACCCAAGCTGCAAAGACCTTTAACCTCACAAAGTAAGTGGGTCATCATCTGAAAACATCTAGTGTCAACCACCTCAGGCTTAATTTTTCTAGAGAACATTAAAAAAGAAAGAAAATGTGTTAAGTGATTTTTAACCAAAGAAACAGTACTCAAACATGAACAAGATGTAAGCTTTTCTATGTGGGGTGACTTTTTCTTTTAATTTTGAGTCTTGTTTATTATATTTCCTTTCTTTATGGTCTGCTTATCTTTTTTTATTTTTTATTTTTTTATTTATTTTTTAGTTGTAGATGGACACAACATGTTTATTTACTTCTTTTTCATGTGATGCTGAGGATAGAACCCAGTGCCTCACACATGCTAGGCAGGCACTATACCATCTGAGCTACAACCCCAGCCCAAGATCTGCTCATCTTTTGATAAGCTTAAAATTATGGCCTTTCTCCTCAAGGCCTTTAAATTTTTCCCTCTCTCTCTCTCTCCCTCTCTCTCTCTCTCTCTCTCTCTCTCCACCTCTCACTGCTTCCTGTCCATTTCTTTAAGGTAAGAATGCAAGAAGATGCAGCTCTCCTAAACAAAAGAATAAGCACTCAGCCGGGGCTTACGGCACTTCCTGAGAATCCAAACACTACACTTCCACCTTTCCCAGATACACCTTGTGAGCTGCAACCAAGGATCGACCCAGCTCTTGGTCAGCAGGTGAAGGATGGACTCGTCATGGGTGGCCAAGGTGATGCTTCTGTAGATGCCATTTACAAAGCAGTCGTTGATGCAGCCAGCAAAGGAATGCAAGTTGTCATCACCACTGCCGTCAACAGTACCACTCAGATCAGCCCTATTCCAGCTCTGAGTGCCATGAGTGCCTTCACTGCCTCAATTGGTGACCCACTAAACCTGTCCAGTGCTGTCAGTGCGGTCATTCATGGGCGGAACATGGGAGGTGTTGATCATGATGGCAGGCTGAGGAATGCAAGAGGGGCTCGGCTGCCCAAGAATCTAGACCATGGCAAAAACTCAAATGAAGGAGATGGGTTTGAGTATTTCAAGTCAGCTAGTTGTCACACATCCAAAAAACAGTGGGATGGGGAGCAAAGCCCCAGAGGAGAGAGAAACAGGTGGAAATATGAGGAATTTTTAGATCATCCAGGCCATATCCATAGTAGTCCTTGTCATGAAAGGCCCAACAATGTCTCTACACTGCCATTTTTGCCTGGGGAGCAGCACCCAATACTGTTACCACCAAGAAACTGTCAAGGGGATAAAATTTTGGAGGAAAATTTCAGGTATAATAACTATAAAAGAACTATGATGAGTTTTAAGGAGAGACTAGAGAACACTGTGGAAAGATGTGCGCACATTAATGGGAACAGACCTCGACAGAGTCGGGGATTTGGAGAGCTGCTAAGCACTGCAAAGCAAGACCTAGTCCTAGAGGAGCAGTCTCCGAGTTCCTCAAATAGTTTAGAAAGTTCTCTAGTCAAAGACTACATCCATTACAATGGAGACTTTAATGCCAAAAGCATTAATGGGTGTGTGCCTAGCCCTTCAGACGCTAAAAGCATCAGTAGTGAAGATGACCTAAGGAATCCAGACTCCCCCTCTTCAAATGAGTTGATACATTATAGACCAAGGACGTTCAACGTTGGCGACTTGGTCTGGGGCCAATTCAAAGGACTGACTTCTTGGCCTGGAAAATTAGTAAGAGAAGACGACGTTCACAATTCATGTCAGCAAAGCCCAGAGGAAGGGAAGGTATACCAATCTTTATCCATTGTCAAATACTAACCTTTGTTCAGATATCAATTATTGTTTTTTGTTATCATCACTTTGGATTCTTTGGATTTGAATTTAAGATTCTTCATGACTCATTGAGGTCTCACAAGCTTCTGGAGCATAAAATGAAGAGGGGATGGTTATAGTCACCAAAATGTCATATCAACAAGGGGTGAGTTATGAAGTATTTATAGATCCCCTTAGGCTTAGAGTGGATCTAGCCCAAGAATGAGATTTCCAGAATTTTGTCAACTCTGCCTTCCTTCCCTGTGTTTACCTATTTCTTTATTTCATAATCAGAGGAGGAAGGCAAGTGTCAATCACTGGGAAAAAAAATGTGGTTAACTGGGGGAGGGTCTCTGAATATGGCAGAGGTAGGGGTTCTACTAGGCAACAGGAAGGTGAGGGAACAATGTCTCCTGCATGTGCTTACATGTGACACATAGGACTCAGCAAGGGTAAAAACTGGGTGGAGTTGCAGCAAGAAGCAGCAGGTAATGTCTGTGAGTTCAGAATGGTGTCTCCTTTCAGGAAAAGTTCTGGGCCTTTGTAACATATGGAAATGTTTAACCTCACAATCTGGTTCTACTTAACAGAATCTGATCACATATATTAAATGAAAACTCTCCATGAAACTACCATTCAATTTAGAAGAAATTAGTAGGAGTTTTCTGGTCTTTTCCCCTTTTACAAATGGTAAAATTGGCCCACTAGGCAAGAAATATGTGGAATGTTTAAAGCAGAAAAATTTATATTTGACCAGAAGGAAATAATTATACCCATTCTCCTCATATGATGAAAAAACATAATTTTTTATCTTCTTAGGTAATAAAAATTACTCTTACAGGTATATATTATTCTGTTAAAGAGTATATTACATGAAGCTATTTTAATTCTGCCCAAACTTTCACTGGAACTTAGGATTAATGGCAGGAAACCAAAAGCATTTCTGCCAGCACAATAAAGGATTGTCTTTCTCCAAAGAACCAGGAGGTCCTTAAACCCTTACTTGTAATGCCTAATATATACTTGTCAAGATACACTCTGGGAATAATGTTTCTAGGTTTGATAAGAAAATGAATTCCATCCTCCTATTCTCAAAACATTTTATTCTCTGTACTTTCTGAGACCAGACAAGCATTCCTTGGGTTGATAAACCCAAATATTTTTGACAGTTTATTTAAGAAATAATTAGAAACAGCAAAAAATAGACTTTTATGATATAAATGGAACTGTTACAAATACAAGATGTAGTCAATGAACTGTTTTTCCATTTCTGTGCAAATGAACCAAGCCTCTTCATGTGCCATTTTATAAGAAGCTGAACTAGAAAAGAGATTATGGCCCTCCTTCCCAGAAAACATCCTTCCTGTCCTAAGTGCCTTGTCTAAAAATATTTTTTTTTTTTTTGCCCTGGATGGAACAAAGGCATGTATTTTTAATACATTTCACATTGAACAATGATCCAAAGTCATTTTTTTGATTAATCTGTTCTAAAATCCTGAGGATGAGTTATTCACTGATGTTAAAATTTCTTTTTTAAAAAATCATGTTTTAAGAGTACAAGAAGTTATTTTGCCTCACCTAAATAAGCAACTAGTTTGTATTCACTATAAAGAAATAGTAACTCTTTCTGGAAATCCAGATTCTTCTTCTTTATTTTAGGCAATAAATTCTTAAGAACAGCATGACATTGTTTTTGAAAATTAAATTATTCAAATATTCCTCCTCCCATTGACTAACATTGTAATTTTGCATTCTCAGGTTAAAACCTTGGTATCAAGATACATTAAAAGCATTTTAGTAATTCAGAAAGCCTAATTTAAAGCACACATTTTAAGATGAAAAACTGAAAACATGTAATAAAATATTAGTGATAGCACATGAAATATTTATCATCAAAAAGCAAGATATAGCAGCCTTAAAAGCTCTCGGGCACTCAGCATTTTTAACAACCTCTAGTCTTTTCAGGATCCATCTCACTTTTGCACATAAAAAAGCAAACCACTACTTCACAACATTCTTTTTTATCCTTTGGTCCACAAAACAAAGGAAGGACTTCCTCAGGCTTTATTTAATGATGCCCAGGGAACACATTGGTGCTAGTTTATAATACCAGAAAAAAAAATAAATTTCAACAGGCCTGACTAACTGCAAGCCAGGTATCCTTTACTTGATGTATTAGTGACCCTGGTTCATCAAGAAAAGATTAAACTATTTCTGTGTAATACCAAAGCATGATTTATTTGAAAAAAGGTCTGTGGTAAAACATCATTTTTAATTTGCCCTCTTATCCAAGTGAATCAGTTATGATGGAAATTTTATTTGCATAGAATTCCTTAATGCTCAGCAATGTTAGATAAATAAAGCCTTGTACATTAATAACTAGGCTTCTACTTTTTAAAAGGTAAGCAGTGCTTTAAGTTCCCTTCTGTATACTAAAATGCCTGACATTTTAATAAAGTCTACAGAGAATGAGAGAGACTAATTCCATAAACAACTTATTTATTATAGTAAAACCTTATTAATTCCATCTTGCTGATGTGAAAAGTTGGCTCATTTCCCCTAGTGTTTATCTTTGAAGTTTTGAAAAGTATAGGTTTGCCAAACATTTTAAATAAACCTTCTTAGCCTCTTAGCTTTATACTATCTCTGTGTCCACCAAAGTAAATTAATCTAAGATCCTGTCAGATCCCACCAGATAAAAAATCTATGTTAACTCAAGTTTTAAAATAGATTTATTATCCCTCCTTCCATTCCATAGCCTGTCATTTATATTTTCAGTTATACCCTTCTTCTCAGCAAACTACCTCAAATTCTTTCTGGAAGCAGGCAAAGAAGAGAAAACAACAATTAATTAACATGATCACAGATTACTATTTGAAAGTGAGCTGGATCCTCTCTAGTTTTCATGTTGCATGAGTGGTCTTTGGTCTAGGTGAAGCCAAGGGTATAGTTGGAGTACTGGTATCTTCCAAGACCTGAGATAGCCACCTTGTCTTTAAGTTCATAATTAGCAGACTCTTTGTTTGTTAGAAAAAAAATGGCTTAGTCAGTTTATGACTTTGGAAAGGCATTTTTAAGCTTTGGTGGGTTAATATATATAACAGAATGATAATGCATTAGAAATGTTCTACGGTTTCTGAGATGATTTCCTAAGCATCACACACTGCATGAACATAGTCTAGAGGGAACTTGTGTTGATAGAGCAGTGTGGTAGAAAGAGGCATGGACTTGGGCATTCTGAAGTGAGCTTAATCCAAACTCTGTCAGTTAAGTGACCCTGTGTAGAGTTATTACTCTCCCAAGGAGCTGCAACCTCCTTACCTCTCAAGTGGGAATATTAATTCTTACCCAGAATGCTATCTTTTAAGAATTAGATAAGATACCACAGCTAGATTGTCTAAGCAAACAAAAGTGGCTCAATAAAAATTAGACTCTTTATCCCTATTTTCTACGTCAGACAATATATTAATTTGGAAGCCACAGTGATGGGAATGAAGTAGTTGACCTCAGTTATTGTTGAAATTGTTCAAGACTATTTTATGAACTTTGGCATATCATGTACAAATTGGCATCTGATTGTAAGTTAGTATTAGCTGTTAATTTCAAGCAAGAGTTCTACCTAGAAGCATTTTAAAGTACTCAGTTTGTTGAGTGAACTTGAAAGTTCCTCTTCCCTCAGTGTTTCCAAAAAATATCAACTCAGACTTTCTTTCCCTACCTTCCTACCTTCCCTGCATATACAGACACCAATATCAATTAGTAGAAATGGTGGTTAACAGTCTATGAAAAGTTGGGCTGAATCACGTGTGTACTCCTGTTCTAATACTGAAGCTATACAACAGCACTAGAGGGTGTTGGGTGCCTCGTATTGTACTGTTTAGGAAGTGGCATCTCCTTACTAATGTTTTTCCCTTAGTTATCAGTTTGTAATAAAGTGTGTTATAGGATATAGTTATATTTGTTCTAAGTATACCTGTGCAAGTTTCTCTCTGAACCATGAACCTTTATCATTTATGGTTTAGTCGCCAAAAATAGGACCTCAGTGCTATGCTCTAATACACAGTCGTGTCCAGAGAGCTTTGCTTCCAGATCTTGGCATGGTGTTAGGGAATTCTTGGAAAGGAAAGTGGCTACCCTGGCATTTCACACATATGCCATGTTGGGTGAAGATTCTTAAGCCTAAGCAACTATGGGAGGAAATGGAAATCTTTATGTACTTATTATTTCAGTAATTATTTTAAAATAAAAAAATGCTCATTTTCTAAAACATATTTCATAACTGTCATCGGCCACTTTTGATCTTACATGAACTAGCCTGAAAGGGTTGCCTCTCATGTAATAATAATCAAAACATGAAATTCTTGGATATTTTTCAGCATAGATCATTGATTTCACTCTTTTTGAACATTTTCACATTGGTTTTCATGTTTCATTGTTCTTACAGCTGATGTGTATTCTGACCTGAGCCAAACTTAAGAAAGAATTTATTATCAGAATGGTACCAAATTGTCTCTTTTCAATGGAATGTCTTTTCTTGGACATGTAGAGAGATACTTCTAATTTCCAGGAAAATGTCTATAAAAGGCATAGTGGGGCAGGCACCCCATTCTTAGAATCACACTTGGGCTTTTTTTTTTTTTTTCACATGGTTGTATTTGGCAGGTATCAATTAAAAATAGCTCTCTGAATATCAGGCACTCAAAATTGACAAAATTCATTATTGTTAAAACTCATAATCAAATTTACTTGGGAGCAAGACACTTTCAGTACGCAAATTCAGCATCATACCTTTGACAGTGTGGTGCATAAGCAAATATGGCTTCCCTCAGAGATTGGGCCTAGAGACCCACCCAGGGTGATGTGCCCTCCTTCAGAGTTTAAAAGTTTTACTTAGAAGAACATTCTTTCTGTGACTGATTCTCAGTGTTAACTAATTTTTTTCCCCTTGGTAATACAATACTCTATTGAGAGTG